GCCACCACTATCCAGCTCTCATTTTACTTTTAAGTAGGAAAACATTTTTGCAATGCTGGAAATTAAACTCAGGGCCTTAGCAAGTGCTCTACCACTCACTGCCATATTTCCCCAGCTCAGGAATTAATTTAAATACTGCATGTAAATTGGGTCCCAGCATACCTGTACTTAAATAGTTGATCTTTTTTTTTTTCTGAGACAGGGTTTCTCTGTGTAGTTTTTGGAGCCTATCCTGGCACTCGCTCTGGAGACCAGGCTGGCCTCAAACTCACAGAGATCCGCCTGCCTCTGCCTCCCGAGTGCTGTGATTAAAGGCGTGCGCCACCAACGCATAGTTGATCTTTTTTTTAGTCCCTTGAATGAACATAGTTAAATATTGCTAGTGTGCAACAGTCAACAATTTCATGAATGTCTCCTGGTTTTCCTCTTTTTTATACTAATAGAAAATTTCTGATTATGGTTCACAGCTGTAGCTGATGTTCACAATAAGGATTCCCATGATGTAGATGCTTTTTTTGGATCAGGGTTTCACATCAGATTTTTCATTGTAATTTACTATTTTTAAGGAATTATTTCAGTATGTGAACAAATAAATAGTCTCCTACCAGTACAGAACTCTTTTATTATTTTAAAAAAAAACTTTCTTTAAAATATGTTACTATTGCTGACATGGACCTGGGGGTGGGAAAGACTGTGACAATAGGTGTTTATTGTCCCTTGTCATGAATATTTGTCATTTGTCCTGTCTTGGTGCTTTCAAAACTAAAGTAGCTTTTGGATTTAGTAGCACAGGTTTTTACTCCTGGCACCTGGGAGGCAGAAGCAGGCAGATCTCTAAATTCAAGGCCATCCTGGTATACATAGTGAGTTTCTGGACAACCAGAGCAACACAGTGAAACCCTGTAGGTGCACCAGAGCGAAGCTTCATGTGTATATGTAATTCTAGTATTCAGGAGACTGAGACAAGATCCTGAGTTTGAGGCCAGCCTGGGAGACAGGGCAAAAGTAAAATGAGGTAACATAGTGCATTGTCAGTGCAAGGGTATGTGTGATCCTTTTAATCCAACTTAATTTTGAGAATAAAACAAGTAATGTGTCACTTGACCTCTTCCATTTTGTCTCATTTGGACCATACCACACTTGTCATCACCACTCTACTGTAAGTCCTTCTGATTCTTTTGCACTTACTCTACCAACACTAAATAATGAATTCTTCCTAGCATAAAAGCATCAGATGATTCACTTGTTTTTAGTCACTAGAATTAAAGTGATTAGGGCTTAATTCTCTGAATTGGAAATGAGAAATTAAAATGTGTTTGAGACTGAATGTGCTTGGCATTTGTGATCATTTAATTGATTTTAAAAGAGCAAAACTTTACAACTCTTATTATTTGAGGGTTACAAGTTTTTCTTATTAAAGCTAAAGTGGAAATACTAAAAATGTAGGAATTGCCAAGTTAATAGAGACACATAATGTCTATTTAAGGCAAGATAAAAAAAATTGTCTCATTGTTTTCTGTTAGCAAGGGGGCAAAGGAAGTGGAGATGGAGACAGACCCATGAAAATGTTTACATTCCATCTATGATCCTTTAATGCATTTCTAGAAAATGGAACAGAAAAATCCACCTTTTAAACTTTTTCCTTTATTTTTAGGCAATTATCAGGCTGTATTTGGACAAGGCCACTCTAATCTGGAATGGAAATGTTGTTACAGGGCTGGAAGCCCTTGCTCATTTTTTTGAGATGTTGCCTTCCAGTGAGTTCCAGATCAATATGTTGGACTGCCAACCAGTTCATGGTAAGATCGTGGTCTTTCAAAGTATCCCCTTTATTTTCTGCTAGTAAACACTGAGGTTTACAGCCAAAGCAGTAGTAACCTTTCACAGTAGATAGATTTACCTATTTGAGCAAGTGAAGTGTCACAAAAAGTAATGTGTACAGTCAGTCTTTGGGACTTTTAGATGCTTTTCATTCTAAAGAACTACCAATAAGTTTGGGATAATGTATGATTATTGGTGATTGGATCGTATATGAGAAATTGCAACTAAATGTGATTTTTGTTGAAAATGAGAATGCCTACAGGAAAAAAATCTATGCTGTATCATAGATTAATGTGTTTGAGGGTCTGTTAGCATTTCAGAGAACTGTATTCTGTGAAAGAATGACTTGGTATATGACAGAATTTGATTCAGAGTGAATTGATGTAATGTATTATATTTGCCTCTAGATGGTGCACTTACTATCTTAAGTAAATGTTTATAATGATATTTTCCCCTTATAGCTCCTCAAGAACGGCTTGAGATGCAAACTATTTTTGATGTTAGATATCTAATGAAATATTAATACATACAGGAAACAAATAGTCATGTATATAATCTTTATTTTGGAATTTGAGAGTACCCTATAAATCTTTCTAGATAGAAAAATCATCTTAATATTTTTTTTTAAATATTCAACTTTTGACTTTGGAATGCATGCTCAAAGTACAGAGCGTTTATGAAAATACTTTAGCATTACATTATAAGCTTATTTAGAAATGTAAATTGACATATTTTTCTTGTTTGTGTTGCTAAAGAGCAAGCTACCCAGTCCCAGACTACAGTTCTTGTTGTGACCAGTGGAGCTGTATAGTTTGATGGAAACAAGCAACACTTCTTCAACCAGAACTTCCTGCTGACTGCTCATAGCACTCCTACCAGCACTGTGTGGAAGATTGCAAGTGATTGTTGCTGCTTTCAAGATTGGGCTAATATTTAAAGGAGCAAAAGCCCACACAATAAGTCCATTAGTTCCAGCAAGAGAAGTTTAATGTGAATTAATGCGGTTCATTGTAAAAGTACTATAAACCAGTATGTGCCAAAACAATTTTTTTTTTTTTTTTTTTTTTTTTTTTTTTTTTTTTTTTTAGTCCTAGCAGCACATTTGCTAGAGCAGCTGCCCGTTTGGATTGCTTTCCCTAAGAGCTTTAAAAATTATGTTGACATACCTTATGCATACATTCCACTACTGATAATCTCAGGGTAATATTGAACAGGATCTAGGTGCCAAGATACTCACTGTGAACTCAATCTACTGCACGAATGGAGTCCTTTTGTAATACTGTCTACGGAATAGCACAAGATAACTCTGCAGGAGGAAGTAGTGGTTTTTCCATTATTAGGATAATTTTTCAATGAAGCACATGCCTGTTTACCATCCACACTGGTAATACAATTTTAATGTGTAAGTATCAATTTTTGAAGTCAGTTCAACTTAGTTTACACCAGCCAGTATTCTGACATATTTGAATCATATGGAAGTATTTTGCAGTTCATATTGTTTTTGTACATTGAGACATTTCCTTTTGATCAGTTAAATGGCAAAAATGTTCTCAGCTGATACTTGAACATTGGGTGCATTTAGTGGCAACAACACCTTTCAAACATTTTCTTGGTAGTTTCAGGTCAATATGTTTATGTGGTAAGTGGTAGTAAAACTAAAAGCTTCAATGGGCAAATAGGAAATAAGAAATGTACAAATAAGAAATAAGAAATGTACAAATAAATCCAAGACTGAAGGAAAAAAACCAGCAGTGACTGAGGGATAAAATCAGTTCTTGTTTCCTCCTGGCAGTATAACCTAGTTTGAGGATTTGAATCCCACAGTCTTGAAGCAATCTTGCCAATGACCATAAGTTCGCTTTTGTTCAAAGAACTGGATTTTAATATCTTACTTCCCTTCATACTTGTCTCCAATATCCATCCCAGTTTATTCAAGAACTTGTGCAAGTCAGCCATCAGCAGTAAACTTAACTTTGTGACAGAATCTGAAAATTAGAAAGAAAGCGACTGCTGTATCTATAAACCTTAAACTCCTACATCTTCCAAATCCAATTCAACCCCAAAGACTTCTATATATTACCCACCATACACATAAATAGTTTTCCCCACTGGTTTTTGCACTGCCAACTGTATTACCTACTTTTTAAAGTTTTCTTTAATTTTATAATTTGTTTTTTGTGTGGCACTGGATAAAAAATCAATATTAAAACATTTCTGCCTGTGGTTAAAAAAACAAAAAAAAATAGGAGAAAAAATCATCATGATTAACTTCAAAAGAACAAACTCATTAATTTTATGTCTTAGCTTCTAAAGACAAATATATTTTAGTTTTTAGATAAACTTTAAAATTCTTGGCAATTTTTAAGTATTTTAAACTAAATAATGCTAGATTTGTTCTGTAGTACAACCAAAATTAAATTTTTATCACCCAATTTTAAAACTAGTAATTTACTTTGGCTCAGAAATACACACTCTATTTCTAATCATGTACTATTAAAATGGAATTAAATAGAAGGGAGTGGAACTGATAATAAACCCATAGCTTATTTCAGTACTTATCAAAATTCAAACATTCTATTCAGAGTGTGCTTACTCTTGTTTTAAATTGTTTTTTTTTTCTTAACCATGTCTTTAGCAAAAACAATTAAAATGCTCAAGTACTACCCTTTCTGGTTGTGGAGAAAAATCTCAAAAGCTGTATACAACTAGCAATAACAAAATTGAACCACTGTGAATTATTTTATCCATACTGAATAACTCCAAAATCCTTAATGATGCTTAAATGGCTGGAACTTTTCATATATGGACTAAACTGCATTTTTAATGGGCTCATACTTTTCTAACTTGAAAAATACAATAAAAACTGCATTGTGACAAGTTTTTTTTCTCAAGTCTTTGTTAAGGTGTTATTGTATTTAAGGCCCCAGAATGGGAACCTGTTCTTTATAAGCCTTCTTAAAATTTTTTTTAAAAAAAGTGTTAAAATGTTGAAAATGATAGTAGATAACTTTTACCTTTTTCCTTTGTCATTTCCACAGTCCCAGTCCATCTTTTTTCTCTCTCTTTTCCTGCCAAGTATTCCCATTGCAACTCTTTGAAGAGCCAGTGAAGTTTAGGGTGAGAAGTTAGAACTCTTTATTTATTTATTTATTTATTTATTTATTTATTTATTTTTAATTTTTTTAAACAGGTTTTCTCTGTGTAGCTTTGTAGACCAGCCTGGCTTCGAACTCACAGAGATCCACCTGCCTCTGCTTCCCGAGTGCTGAAATTAAAGGCATGCACCACTTCTGACAGGTGAAGGTCACCTAGCTCTTTATATTTTTTAAATAATTAATTTATTTTATATCTGCATTGGTGTAAGAGTGTCAGATCTCCTGGAACTGTATTCAGCCAGTGCTCTTAACCTCTGAGCCATCTCTCCAGCCCCGAAGTTAGAACTCTTAACTTGCCAAAACATTCTTTTCAGTAAGCATTGAAATGGAAATACAGTTGTGTTCCAGAAATATTTATTCCTTCAGCTTTAACATTACATTAAAAATATGTCAGCAGGATCTGGAGAGAAGGCTTAATAATTTGGGGTGGGGGTCAAGACAGGGTTTCTCTGTGAAACAGTCCTGGCTGTCCTGGAATTCACTCTGTAAACCAGGCTGGCCTTGAACTCAGAGATCCGCCTGCCTCT